TGTTTTCATGTTTAAGATACGAGCAAGAATGCAAATTTCCCTCAATATCCAAACGATGGCAAATGTGCCATTCATTTTTTACAGCAGTTCAACAAAAAAAAGGTAATATTAAGTGAACATTTTAAATTTTAAATGTAGCCTACATTTTAAACAGAATATTGTCTGTTCTATTTTGCAACAAAATAATAGTTCCAACGAAATCCGTATCATCTGGTGTGCGTCTCCAAGCAACATACAGCGGTGTTTCATTAGTGAACGAATCTGCGGCTTTGAGCGATTTGGAGAGTCAGTGATTAAATAACCCATTCATAACTAGGCCTACAGCATTTTGCTTCGTTACTGAATGAATGAATGACTCCACGCCTGGCTCATTAAGACAGCGACTTGCCGCCACCTATTGGCGGTTTTATTTTTAAATCTATAAGTATCACTTTGATTTGCCATCATTTATTGCTTGATTTATTATATGAATAATGCACTTAATGGAATGTTAAAAATATGACATAAAACATGACATACAATTAATAAGGATAGAAAATATTTGCCTCTATAAAGGTAAAAAATGCACCTGTAAATCAATTTAAGGGGGCAAATATTGTCCTTTAATAGAAAAGGTGTGACTGCGGTCTAAATGGAAGAGAGGGGGTACGCAGAAGAATGTTAAATGCCCCAGGGGGTACGCCGCTGTAAAAAGTTTGAGAACCACTGGACTAGAGTATCCTAGCACCCCTAGTGGTGTGTAGCATTACCCTTAATGAAAAAAAAAAACATGGCAGCAGGTTTAGGCCTGCTATGTAATGTACTGTACCAGAAGTGTGTAAGGAAAGTCTCTCCTGCTCCCATGACTCTTTCCATTTCCTGTATATTTTCCGCACTGCATGCAAACACAATATTTTGACATGTTATGCAAAGCCATGTAAAAAAAAAAGTCTCTCACTCTTCCCTGAACTGTTTCTCCTGTTTCCTTAACCATCTCTTGGATTTCTCTAAAAGTCTCATGTTTTTTTATCCAACTGCAAGATTTTGACGTTAAATTATAAAATCATGTCATCTAGTATGTCAATCACCAAAATTGGAGGGGAAAAAATATTTAATGACAGTTTCAGTAACACAGTTTTCCTTGATCATCCTTAGATGTTCCAATAAGAAATAAACACACACAAGCACACAGGCACACATTTTCACATACTATATATTTTCTATGATGGTGGGGATTTTACACTTCTATTGTTTTTATACTGAGCTAATGATTTCTTTCCCCTAAAGTTAACCCTCACATAAACCTTTCGGTATTTTTACATTCTCACTAGTATTCTCTATTTTGTTCAGATTAACATTGTAGTGTTTGCTGATTAAACAAAATTTTCCAGATACCAATTTAAACGCACTCACAAGCAACTATGAGCACTTGAGTTGGGGAATTTCTTCCATATCATTCCTATATCTAAATGGACTTTACGTCATGTTTCCAAATTGACAGAAACAGACCAGTAAATCTGGCCTTTATTACCTTGATATCTCCTCTTCATTTCATGACGGTCAAGCAGATGCTTATGTTTCCTTTTTTCCGTACTTTGCCGAAGCTCTAAAATAAACCAAATATCAAGCTGATCCCATTACCATTTCAAAATAGTCATAATTGAATAAAAGATAAACAATATCCAATATATACTAGGTAATATTTAATAATCCCAAAATGTTTTATATAATTAATGGACCAACTTGGTATGAAAACAGAGAGACGGCAGAGATATATGAGAAGCATGAAATATTTAAATCATTTTTAATATTTAAAATTAAGTGTTTGATAACTCAATGTCATAGCTGACCAATCAATATTAATTATTCCAGAGAAATGTGTATTCCAACATACATGAAACATATTGCAATACTGTATGTTGTAACGGTACTGTAGTATTTTAGAATAAATTAATTTCAGAAATGAGTCAGAAAAGTTAAAGCTACCGTTTTAATAATGCCTTACCTGTCACTTGCAAGTAAACTGTTCCTGTCTTCTCATATCCATCATGAAAGACTGTGCATGTATTGACTCCTGAATCTGATGATTGAACATTTCTCAAAGTGAGTGAAAGATTTCCTCTCTCCAGTTCCTGGGTGGACAGACTCACTCGGTTCTCATAGTCACGGTTTGTTATATCTTGCCTGTGGTTATAATGATAAATGAGCTCTGTCCCTTTAAACCATCTGATGTCCATGGACACAGCACTGATTTCAGGTGAGAGATAAGCAGGTAAGATGACGTCTGATCCAGGATCAGCAGATACAGAGCGAGTAGGAACCACAAGACTAAAGTCTTCAGCTTGACAGAGAAATACATTTATTGTCAATAAAAGTCCCCATTACACCATCACTACTTTAAAATTATTGACTATTTATCATAATTTTATTTTTTTTAATCTACTGCTTAGTTATATTAGGTTGCAAGTTGGTGTCAAAAATTAAACAAATTTTGCATTTACATAACATGTTTTCCAAAGAAACTTCTAGCTGCTTTGAACCATTTAACTGAATCATGGTCCAACAAAATAATAATATGCAGTCTATCTGAAGTTAGTTACACTTTTGTGATGCAAAAATGTAATAGCCTATCTTAAAGTAACCTGCATAAATACTTACATCTGATATGGAGAAAAATTAATTCCTTTATCGTGTTATATTCATGGATGACCTCACAAATATAGGGGCCTCTCTGTGAATTTCTGACATCTCTGAGAGACAAAAACACATTTCCATTGTGGAGATCTTCAAGTGAAAGACTCACTCGACCCTCATAGATCTTTATCATCTGTCCATCCTTATAATGACAGACCAGATCAGCCTTATTCCACCATTTGATCTCCATTGAAGCAGCACTGACAGCTGGCTCAATATGACATGACAGAACAACATCATCTCCAGGACCACAAAATACAATGTCAGATAAGCAAACCAGAGACAACGCTGAAGAAGAGGAAAAAAGAGAAATGACTTAACATTATTTCTGTGTAAACACAGCCAAACCATATAGGTCACAGATATTTTTTTTTTACTTGCCTTGCCTAATTTCTTCAGCCATTTTTTATATTTCTGGATGTCTGAAATGGAAAAACCACTGTAAGCCTAGAATTATGACAATTTGAATGTTTGAGGAGTATGTTTTCTTTTTTGTTTAACACATAATCTTAAATTACAGATTAGCGTTAAATCAACATAATTTAAATCGCTTGTGTGAGAAAAACAAGCAAAATAGCTTTTGTTAGACAACAATCCAACAATTTAAGTTTAAAAACTTATAGTTTCTTCAAGGTAGGTGGGCTACAAAATAGTCCCTCCACAGAGCACCTTCTCCTGTTACAATCTTGCAAATTCAACAAATTTGATCATTTATTATTCTCACCAATTCATTCCTATCATGAAGTTCCATTATAAAATGGAGGCTATTTATTCACTTACTACATTTATTCGCTCTAAGATGGGTCTTCTCTTTCTGTTCCTGTTAATTTTCTTAACTATTGAAACAAGAATAAATTCCATTTTCAATCATGAAGTTCAAAATAAAGAAGTAAGTCCAACATCCAATCAACAAGCCAAGAAAATCGTAGAATAATTGAGTCTATTACAAATACGTTTCCACAGTGGGTAACGTTAGCCTACGCACACAGTGTGGAAACGAATTTTCTCCCTGAGGAAAAATTAATGATCTATCTACGTACACAATCGAACTTTCTAAAGAAAGAAAGAAATAACCTTTCTCACCTTTATGAACAGTCCAGCCTTTTTCCAGTCAATTTAATACCCAAAGGTGAAGTTTCTTGCCTTATTCTCCTAACTTTCATTTTCACTTTACATTGTGAGGTAGGCTAAAGCGCACAACGATAGCTATTAATTACAGCGTAAATGCTAGATTCCTTTAATATAATAAAACCCCGTGTATATATTGGTTACGTAGAAATTGAATATTCTATATAAAATAGGCTACAAAACGTATATTTACATGATTGTTAAGAGAGAAAGATTTACGTCTCGCTGGAAGATGGCGGACATGTAGGCTATTGGAACAAACCTCACCTGAATTGTCACAACACACGGAAATACCGTAAGTGCGCGTGACAGATTCACTCGAAGTCTCTTATTAAATGTAAACAAACATTCACACAGCAGTCTCGTTTACACAAGGACATAGTTATATATAGGATAAGAAATTCTGCACTATGAGTACACTATTAAACGAAATCGTGTAGTAAAATCTAAACATTTGAATTTTAATAAGCAGGTTGTATTGACAGTGAAACGCTGAATTGAATCAAACTGTGTGCATAAAACCGACATCTTCTGTTCAGCCAGGTGAAGCCTGTTCATATGCAGCTTACAGAAATAGAGTGTGTTTGTATTTGTGTGTCAAAAATATTTGCAGACATACAGAATAACACAATTACTCAGTTTTCTCAGTATGGTTCATCAGCTGGATTCTTCTCGAGATCCCAGCGACTGATGCTGCTCATATTTAGCAAAGTGAGACCATCATCACACACACACACACACACACACACACAAACAAACAAATAAAATATATTTTGCAATCAAATTGACCAACAAATACAAAAAAAAAAAATCATAAATCAACAAATCACAAAACACAAATCAAGAGTGTATGGGTGATTCATGAAAGAAATAAAAGGAATTAATGCAATAATGACTGCTGATGTACACAAATAAGTACAAAATAAGTGGAAACATGTATAGTACAAAGTATTGATGAAGGAAAATAAAAAAGGATAAACAGTATTAGGATGTCAAAATGCCACTGTAATAATGTAAAATCTTATGTGCTTACAGCAAAAGACTGAAACCAGAGGTATACGAATGAGTTTTCTGGGTAAATGTGTTTGTTTGTTTGTTACCATTTGCATTAAAATTATATTATTAACATCATTATAATGAAAAGTGCACATGCATTTCTGAATTTAGTAGAGTAATGTCAGTTAAATGAATTCTTTAGAATCGATATCCAGTTTCTGGAAACTATTTTAAACAGCAGCTTACGTAAGTCTATGTCTGGAAGAAAAAAACACTTTGGTACCCTAATGTGATGTTACCCTAATAGACTGTTATGTACTGTTACATAAAGACTGTATCTCTATCACTCTATCATTTCTAAACAGGCACCAAACAGTTATCATCAAAAGCCAAAAGAATCACTGTCGAGTTGAAGAGGGATAGGATTCTCTAAGGTATAAGATATTCCACCATTCACCATCATTCCCTTAAAAGTCACCACTTTAGTATTTCCAAGAACATCATCTTTATTGTGGGAATCTCTGAAATGGTTTAATATTTAAATAACACTGTATGTTCAAAATCAGGAAGAACTACTGTAACAAATTGTGATCTTTATCTAAAATAATTCTAAATCATGCATCTAATCCAGTTCAAATAGATACATTCAGTGGCAACAAAATTAAATTAGCCTTAACCAATTTTTGAGATTTCTATGCATAACATGTCCCAACCACCTAACAGAAATCACTGACATGGATGTCAAGAGAAATCACACCTGCCTTTTTGGCAGCCCTTAATTTTCTGTAAAGGTGTGCGGTTTAAGTTTGGAAAATGGCTAAAATTGCTTATAGCAACAAATTTTGGATTTAACAAATTGGCAACGATTCCAAATAACTCCTACATGAGAATTAAAATGTATGAAAAACTTTGATTAAACAAAGTTATTAACATGGTTTATTGACCAGGTTTACAGTAATTAGATAATCTGGCAGTTTTTCACTGTATTTTGGTGTCTCCTTTGAGTATCATTCTGGTGTCATTCTGTTTTCTATAGTGGTGGGCACACTGGGCAGAGTGAGGCTTCGTGAAACACTGAAACAGTCGAAGCAAATGTGCAGAGGCTTCGAAACAATTCGACACCAGTCTCTATGGTGGCGCCTAGTGGTCATTTTCAAGTATTGCTCTAAAACAACCTTGACAACGAATCAGTTAAGCGAATTGACGAATTATAACATATATGAGTCCTTCACTCTACTAAGTGAGTTGGGGGAGTGGTTAGTGTGCTCGACTGGCATGCTGACGTCGAATCCAGTGTGACGCATACATATTCATATTATTATAATAAACATTTATAAGTTGTGT